ATTAAAAGCATTATCTATATCTATCCCATAATCCAATATAAAGAACCTAAACCTTTTGTTAGCAGGTTAGGTATGCACAAATACTTGTATAACAACCCCTTGTTTACATCCTCAAAGGTCCAATATCCTTTAAAGAATGAGTGATCATAATAAAAATACAAATAATTGTTGTTGATCAAAACGTTATTATTCAAAATAAAATAATTAATATTTTATTTTAAAAAAAATTTCATATCATTAAATAACTAAAACTAATCACATAAAGTATATTTTAACTTTTCAAATTTACCCTAAATTAAATATGCCAAACTTATTGAACTAATTCTCATTACTTTTTTGCCCGATTTCCATTTCCTTTATTTTTCTTTCCAACGTGCCTCTCATTAATTCCTTGCCCACAATTCTTTCTTTCTTTCTTTCTTTCACTACGAGAACTTCCTTTATTAATCTCTTCCGACGACAAAATCATAATTGCAGCTTCACATGCACACCTCGCATATATAGCCACATGTTTGTTTTCATTTTTGTTGTTCATGTCTTCAATTTAGATATTTTTTGTCATAAGATTTATGGTAAGGTGAAACCTTGTTTATGATTTGTGCCAACCATTCGGGGTGAGTATGGGAGTGATAAATGTTTAGTATCATTGATTAATCGTTGTAGTTATAGTTGGATCATTCAACTTGAAAACCATCTTTATTGGTTCGAGACATATTTCTGATATACTTCACATCTTATTAAAAATCATTAAATTACAAATAATTCACGAAATTATAAATTATCATAAAAATAAATTTAAATTTATCGATTCGAATTAATATAAAATGACTTTGAATTATTGACCGTTTTTAATTAATAACAATTATATCTGAAAATAAATTTAAAAATAAGATCACCTAACCCAAATATAAGATCAGCTTTCGTGTCCAATGGTACATTTATTGTCATATAATAAGTACAAACGAAGCATATAGGGTGGAGGAGAGCGCAATGTGTGAAGCCAAAGAAATGGAGGGTGAGCTCAAGAACTTCATCAGGTTTTGTGTTTTGACCTTAGCATTTCTTCTCTATAGTTACTTCATTGCAGCAAAGATCCCAAAGGGTTTGCTAAGGCTCATCTCCATCCTTCCTGTCATCACCCTCCTATCTATCCTCCCCTTTGACCTCAACAGCTTTCATATCGGTTCCGCGACCTGGTTTCTCGTCGCTTGGCTTGCCAACTTCAAGCTCCTCTTATTCGCCTTCGATCAAGGCCCTTTGTCAGTACCTAAACATGATCTTCTTTGTTTCATCCTCACGGCTTGTTTCCCTTTTAAAATCAAACAAAACCCGTCTCCAAAAAAGCCATTTGAAACCAAGACTAATCTAATTTTAGAGGCTGCAACTAGAGCTACAATTGTATCGACAGTGGTTTATGCTTATAACAACTATGAACACTACTTTCACAAACACATTTTATTCATTTATTGTTTCTACATTTACCATGCACTACAATTTCTCCTTGCCTTGGCTGCAAGCTCAGCTCAACTCCTTCTTGGCGTTGAACTCGAGCCACAGTTCAACGCACCACTCCTTTCCACTTCACTACAAGATTTTTGGGGCCATAGGTGGAACCTTAGGGTCTCAGAGTTACTACGTGCCACCGTATATATTCCCGCACATCGTATTTCTACGCGCATAATTGGACCTCGATGGCCCTCATTGCCTGCTGTTTTTTTGACATTTTTTGTCTCGGGTTTGATGCACGAATTGCTTGTCTATCATATGACCCGTGAAAGACCGACATGGGAAATGACTTGGTTCTTCATCTTGCAAGGAGTTTTCGTGGATATGGAGATAGTATTGAAGAAAAAATTGGTGGCGACCAATAAATTTCGGCTTCATAGGGCAATTTCAGGACCATTGGCTTTGGCAAATATAGCAGTGACTGCTGGCTGGCTGTCTTATACACAGATTCTGCGAAATGGTATAGATGAGAAACTCATCAAAGAATTCAATATGTTCATGCCGTTTCTCAAAGGGCATGGCTATAAGCAAATACTAAGCGCTTGCTCCACTAGTCAAGGCCAAGTGCATGGTTTGTGATAGCTAGAGTAAACGTATGCAGCTCCTTCAATAATTCCTTGCTGCTACTTTCATAATGTTTTATTATATATATATATGTTTAGCTGCTGTAACTGTTAATTATTTTCATCCAAAAAGCATTAAGATTTTTTTTTTTATAATAAGAAGAAGGGGATTCGAATCCTGCTAGTAGGGAATTATACATCAGCTAATAAGCCGAATATTTGAGTGTAAAAATCATTAAGATTTAAATAAATATTTGTGATTTATTTTCATGTTATATTTAATGGATTTATATTTGCCCATCACAAAGTTCCTCTTCATTAATAAATAAAAATAGAAGTCTTTAAGGTCTTGAAAATAAATACGAAAAAATTATTTTAGGTATAATCAAATAAAAAAATATAAGCATAATATCAAAAAAGCCTCTAAACTTTCTCTAAACCTTTCAGAAAAAATCAAATAAGTCTTTGTATTTTTATTGTGTTCAATTAAATCCTTATATTTTTTATTTTGAGTCAAATAAGTTTTTATATTTTTATTTTAAGCTAAATAAATCTTTGTACATTTATTTCAAGTCAAACAAGCCTTTATTATTAATGAGTAACTTAGTTAAAATATTATTTGTTATTTTATACCTTACAAAATTGACATGACATGCTAAAATTTCATAATTGATGATGATATGATATGTTAATATATCATAACTAACAATAACGTGACAAGTTAATTTAGCATAATAATATGACCATCTAATGTTTAGGTTAATGACAATTAGTCAATAATTAATTATAAGAGTTTATGTAATCTAAAATAAAAATATACAAACTTGATTGAATCAAATAAAAAAATAAAAATTTATTTAAAAATTCTTAAATAGTCTAGGGACTTATTTGAGCATTAAGCCCAAATATAATATTTTCACTTTCTTTCTAAACTCTCTTAAGAATTTCTCTCAAATCCCTCTCTTATTCCTCACGTACAAAGGCATTCAAAGCAAAATAAAACCTCTCTCTCTCTTTGAACTATTATTAAGAACATTTGCAAAAAAAAATTGTCTCCAATATTAAATAAACTTGTTTCTTTTTTCTTTTTTTTTTTGATAATATTTGTGAAAATTTGATTAAATATTATATCTTATATATCTCTCCTTTTCTCTCTTCCTGAGAGAAATCTCTATCTGACACTCTCGCCTACTCTTCCAAATTCTCATTGGTTTTCTCGTTCAATTTCTTCTCCTTAGTTTCTTCTGTTCTTCTCTTTTCGATTTCTCCTTTGGTTTTTCTTGAAAAGGAAAAAAAGGAAAGAAAGAAAAGGTGCAGGTCCAATTACTTTTTTTGCTTCTTCCCCAATTGGAAGAACGAATAACTAAGGTGTTTTCTTTGTTTTCGTTTTTCTTTAGAATAATGAAAAGGGAAAATTTGATAATCAAGGACAACCTCAAATTCCAAATGCTGAGTCTCAAAAACAGAAAAGAAATTGAGAAATTTGTAAAAACATTGAAAGAAAATAGTGAAAAAATTATATTTATTTTCAAGATCATAAAGAGTTTTATTTTTGTTTTATAATGACATGGTGCTTTGTGGTGAACTAACAGTGTATAAAAACTATACCCGATAAGTGCTTCAAATATAAACCCTATTAATCAATTAGTTATTGACCTCTAGCCAACAACCAGGGCATTCTTGGACCTATTGGATTGGGCGAAGGACACATAAAAGGCCCAGTTCTTGGTGGGCCTTCACCAGATTGCTGTGAAATGGATGTGTCCAATTTGTTCATTCAGTTCAAACTCCCAAGTAAAAAAGTCTTTAACTCAAGCCCAACTTGGAATTTTCACCAGAAACTACAGTCACATTTGCTATACCTAATTCCCAAAAAGCCAGCCATAAGACCATATAATTCCTATTTCTAGTTCATGTTAAAAGGAGACAATTACCACTTGGACAACCTTTTGAATATGTAAAAATTGGGGCCATCAGTTTCAAACTTAAAGAATGAATAATTGCTTGTACTATATCTATTTAACAGGGTATTCTAACTGATCCTCTAAATGTTTTTCATAACATATGTTATGATCAAACCTCTTCACCAATATTTCCATCCCATCTTTTACAATCTATTCTTTAGCCTACCAGTATACTTGGTTTGACATAGTAGTATTTAATTTTTTCCTTTAGGCGAAGTTTTAAGTTTAAACCAAAGGCTAAAGATATCCCCACCATAACTTTGGGTTTGCAATCTCAATGACAAAAGGCCAACATAAAGACCTAGGTAGAATTATCGAACCAAACCAGGTATTACTTTGTCCGAATACTTCTTCACTCCCAACTCCCAAGATTGCATTCTTAAATTGTATCGTTTCTTTATATATATTTATTTAGAAGTGTGTATGATATAGCACAAGGTTATCCTCAATCTTCATTAAAATGCTGGGTCTTTACGTTGGAAGAACCCAAAGCACAATGTCGTTAGTGCGGTTCTTCCACGACTAAGAATCATCCTGCAAGGCAGATTTTCTGATTCTCTATACTTTAGCAATCAGCACCCTTCATTAAAAAATCGTTAGAACACTGCTGGATGGGCTAGCTAAATCTGGGGTCAGTATCGTTCTCAATATTGGATGGCCTGTTTTAGTGTTGGGTTCTTTCCCTTGTGTGTGTGTCGAATTGCAACATCAATTCTCACGTTTTTGGATTGCCGTTTTGTCAAGACTTTGAAGTTTGGGTAAAAAACACATAAATAAGATCGTTAATCTTTTGGCTTGTCCAAAAAAGGCAAAGAGCTCTGCTTAGCTTGGTCAGAAAAGACAAAGATCCCGATTTGTCCTTGGCGTAGCTTGGTCGGTAATTCATTCTGATAAATAGATTGGATAGACAGAGCCCTGCTTCAAAGTCAAAGAAAATAGGATTCATGAGCATTATATGTCTCAAGCAATGAAGAAAAGAGTCTTGTCAAAGTCCCTAACTCACACTGATATATGCAAAAGATTGGCTATCCCAACAAAGAGTCTAGCCTTCTTACCTCATTTCTGTGGAGGCAATGCCATAGAGTTGCCGGTTAGGGATGATAATGGCTGCAGCTGGACATTTGTTTGCTCACTCCGGAAAACTGGCTATGCAAAACCAGTTCTACAAAAGGGATGGCGACACTTTGTTCTTGCTAAAGGTCTCACTGTTGGTGATAAAGTCACGTTTTATCAGCAGGGAACTGACGATGGGATTAAGGTATTTGGTACTGTTTTTCCTCGTTCATGCTATAGCATTGAGGTTGAGAGAGCTATCAAGCCCTCCCTGTCTAGAGCTTGTGTTGATCACAATCTAGCCAGGAAATGACCGCAGTTGCTGGGGGTTGATGATGTCGAACCTGTCAATCTCTAATATATATGTTGGTGAAGCTGGTGGCTGATAAAGTAGAGATAGAGAATTGAGATGAAAAAGCAAAAATAAAATCCATGTCGAGTCAGGGTGCATCTCCTGCATCTATAGTTCTAGGCAAGAAAGGGCCTAGTTTTGCTTGCATAATATTACTGCAAAAGAACTACTCCCACTATACACTATGAAGTTATGTGGAGTACTACATAAATCTTGTATCCATTTGGTTTAAATCTGCCAGTGGTCCCTCTATTTCATGGAAATGTTTAATACAGTCCCCTCTAGACTCTAGTGTCAATTGGAAGCATATATATTTAACTCATATACTTGACTTTTGGTGCAATTAATTAAGAAAGATCGTTGAATACTTGAATTGAGCTGAGTTGCATGAAAACTTCACGCACTTGTGCACAGACAAACATTAGATTCAAATAATTCTTCCCCCCACGATTTGTTTGACAGTCGAACCAATCTCATCACCACACCTGTAGGAAGAAATGATGAAGAATTCGAGGAAATTGCAAGCCCTTATTGTCTGTTTTGTGTGCTCCGGATTTTTGTAAGTATCATCCCAACATTTTCCAGAGTCAAATATCTTACTATAATAATAACTATAAAAAAAATGATTTGATACTAACTTTTTGTTCAATGTGATTTTGACTTTTGTGTGATTTGATATTAGCAGTTTTGGTGCAATGAACACATGTTAGGCATGGCTGTGCGAAGGGTAACAATTCTGTCTTACACATATATATATATATATATATATGTGATGTTGCCCAAGTAAATGAATGTTGTATGGAGAAGATTGGTGGTTTAATGCATGGTGTTATGTAATGTTTGTATTCGGAGTAATGCATGCATGGGGTGAGAGTTGGGTGATGGTGGGATCAATTGTTATTTAATCTATTTACAGCTTCCTTCTAAGCTTGTTTTGATGGTCAATACGGCCAAGACTTTGATATTAGAAAAGGAAATGAAAGCAAGAGAATCAATATTAATTCTATCTTAATACAAAATAGAAAGTTTAAGTACCTAATATAATTATTAGTTGCTCAATTTAAATTTTAAAATTGATCACTCAAATTCCATTGATATTAAAAGAAGCAAAGGGCAGTAATTAACTAATAATCAATTCACCGAAAATGGCATCAAAACTTGCTTTTATTATATATTGCCTTTTGTTGTTGTTCTTATCAATATACACGTCAAGCCTTGTGGATGCTTTTCAAGTTGCTCTTGACTACGTGTGAAGGCAGAGATTGTCTTGGATGGTTGTGATTTTACTGAAAATGGGCAGTAGGTTATACAATGACGGTTTTGTTTTGTTGTGTGCAACTAGATTTGCTTATGTCGGAGTCTTTAGAAACGGCATCGTTGTGAGCGTAATAAATTCGTTTCTTTTTTAAAAAATGCACATTTGAAAAAATGCAGATATTGTAGTCCTTTTTCTTCTTTATATGAGGGCATTTTCGGTTAATTAAAAGATCATTAATAGACTCAAACGGCATTAAAACTTCATGCACTTGTGCGCAGATTAAAATTATATTCAAATAGGTTAGATCGAATGCCTTAATTTGGCTTATAAAATAATGTTGAACGACCTTAAGTAAATGGTCAGCGTTACGGGCAAAAAGCTACTTTGTCCAGTCAATATCTTTCGATTTTCATCTTCTGTCGATCGACATCGCGCGAAGGAATTGGAAAATCTTACGACCACCACCGAACACCAACCGTCATACTACATTTCCTTTATAACGAAAGTTCGATTTTCGCTTCTTTGCATGTATATAGATTCCATTATACAGGAACAAAAAAGAAAGAACTGAGTTTTCCCATGGCGCTGAGTGGATTCTCTGAATCAGAAGGAATCCAAGTGAAGAAGAAGAGGAAGATGTTTTCAAAGCGCCTGACAAGAACTGATATATCAAAACGATTGGCTCTTCCAACAAGGAGACTTTCCTTGTTCCCACCTTTCGACGGAGGCTACGAGATGGAGTTGGTGGTTTGGGATGATGATGATGACGATGATGTGAATAGGCAAGTGTGGAAATTTGTTTGCTCCATCCGCAAGACAGGCCACCCCAAACCAGTATTTTCTAGGGGTTGGCCAGATTTTATCGTGGCTAAAGGTCTGAGTGTTGGTGACAAGGTGACGCTTTATAAGAAGGAAGACAGAACCGAGCTATTTGGTCATGTTCTCTGTCAGTCACGTTATAGCATTAAGGTGGACAGAACAGCCGGAGCATCATTCGGGACTGCGACCCGGCGCTTCTGAGGCTACCCTGCATCACAAGAACGAGTTACGAGCGAGTGAAGATTTTAGCACAGTTGATGTTCGAGTTGTTGAAATTGCGGCAGTTAATTAAATCCGTCTTGCCTGTTGAAAGAAGTCAGATCCTCTGTCCTCATGTTTGGACCCATTTCACATGTATTAATCGGTAATATAACAAAAAAAAAAAAGAAAGACACATGGTAATTAATTTGTGAGAGCTAAAAGAGGATATGGCTTCTTTGACAAATCAATCCTTGATCTAAGTATTTCAATCCTTTGAGATTAATGTTGTCTCTGTTCACAGGTTTGTGATTTCTGTCCTGCTTCCTTGTCCCAAATCCTTTTTCTTCTCCTTCCTTTTACTATTGGTTAATACATGTTTATGTGCCTTAAATGCATCAGATACGATAAAATACGAAATACGTTAAGATTAAATACAAACACAACACGAATAATATTCATGTCTTAGATTTGAAACACGTATATGTATACATTTAATAATCATATAACACGACAGGACACGTTTAATAAGTTTATTAAACGTGTGAATATACAACACAACATACGATTAAATAAAAATATTTATAATTAAATATAATTTTATTATTTTTTATAATCTATAATTATAAAAGCAATTATAACAAAATAAAATAATGATAACATTAAGTGTAACAAACTAAAAGTTCAAAATTAAGGTTTGAATGACATAATTACATTATTATCCTTATAAAATGCATGAAAATGATTTGGTTTCCCATAGCCAAAGTGCACATGAAAATGACCTGCCTTGGAAGGATTTTAAGATCAGAAAGAGATTAAAAGGTGGCCAATTGATCAAATCCAATATGATTGAATAGCCATTGCTGCAACCTAAAAGGCTTTTCAGGGGTAACTTGTTTACATTTGGTTTTAAAGAAAAAAGGGTGCAAAAGGTAGCACATTTTATGATCATTTGTCAATAAAAGAAGAAACTTTACATCAGCTGATTGGAGTTAAGATTCTCTGTTGTATGATTAGATATTGGCCACCTTTTTTAAATACAACTCAGGCAGCCTTCGGCTTTGGCTTCATTCGCTTTGCTTTTGAATACAAGAAGACTCCAGTTAGAGCCACGGCAGTGCCTGCAGTTCCAAACCAGTCACAGTTATATAAAATGTAAAAGCCGATCAAACTACAACTGTCAATTTGCCATGTTTTAACAATGGGTATGAACAATTTTTACCAAGGGAGTTAATGGGTGAAACAGGCGTTTGGAAGAAGATAACTGAAGAGACGATGACCACAACTCTCTTCACACAATTTCCTACAGAGTGGGTAACTGGTGATACCATCTGCAGTATCATATAGGAGACCTGCCAAACAGAAAACGTAGCATTTTGACATTGATCAGAGGACCAGAAATAAGGCTATAAATACTAACAGGCTCACCTGCTGATAACTGTGGAAACAGAATCCGGTCAGAAGAGATCTTATGCAGAGCTCTTTAACATTCAAACCTTGGTTTGCCTTAGCTCAAGGGAAAAGAAAACAGCATCATGTTGGATGTTTATTAAATAACAAACTCTGATTGCTTTGAGCCAACATCAACGTTATGCTTTCTAGATATGCTACTTACAGCAGATTGTAGATAGGATGGAGTGAACTTGAAACCTTCCAGTAAAATGGCCGTGGGAACCAAAAGGATAAAAGAAATTATGGTTATCACAGAGAAGAGATTGATATTGTCCAAGGTGTCCTGTTTAAACAAGTGAGGATCAGATCCCAATTGAACAATGCCATATATTAAACACCGCTTGGCAATATCAAGAGCAGAATTATCATACTTGTGTCATTAAACAATGTTGATTCAGTTGAAATTAAAATGTAAAAGCATTGTACATTTGAACCTTGAGTTACGTGTTTTTTTTACCTCTTTTCTAACCATGAACTTCTTACTAAGCACATTACGCGATTGGTTAGTCACATTGGAAGCCATTGCACTGCAGAAACCAATCCTGTTCCAGAATGGCAAGACTTTTGTCAAGTTTAAGAGACAATACCAACCAAAAGTTAAAGATGCAGCAACATCCATATTTCATCTTTTCGATTAAGTTGATCAATGTTTCTTACCAATTAAAAGATACCTCAGTGAATGAGGCTAAAGCCACCCCACCTACAACTGGTATGAGGGAGGATAATATCCACAGAGTAGGCCACTGTGAACATGAAATTGTAAAAAACTGACTCAAAGGACTGAAAGATAACAATTTAATTCTCAAATATGAGATGATTTGTGAATCTGTGACTATAAATTTGCTTGGTCTTGCTGAAAAGCACATTAATCAGAGAAATTTCTGGTAGAGCTGGCTATTTTCCCATCCCATCAACAAGCAATGTCTTCTAAATATTATCACCAAAAGAATTAGCCCATAGCTAGAAAAAGACCGTTGAAGTACAAAACAATAGCAGACAAGTCAGCTTATATTAAATCCTTTTAAGCATAAAAATTAATAAGTGATTGTTTCTTAGCAGCTTTTGGCTTCTTTTGGGACCCCTAAGCCTAGATTGCATTATAGATTTTTATAGAATAACTTTTGATGCCCATATAATTTTGGCAAATAAGCTTGCTTGACAAGTCAATCTCCAAACTTCTATGAAAGCTGATGCTAGAGGGGGAACAGAACTGAATGCTGAAGAATTCAGAAGAAAATCTTCTTTGTTTCAACTAATTTCAAGTTGCATTTATATCAAGAAGGAGACGCCTTTTCTTCACTCTTAGCATTTGGGGTACAGGTAAAAGAAGCAAAGTTAATCTGTTAGAAATCCTAAGTGCAGAAACTCTTACCTCTCCAAGAAACAGAACTGAGAATAAGACAGTGAAGAAGGGCTCCATTGCTTTAATAGTGTGAGTGAATGAGACATTAACTTGCCCAAGACTAACGTTGGTCAAAAGGTTACCAAGAGTGTGAATCACAGCCAATGGAATGATTGCTGCAAGCTGAAAACAGCTTTGTAAGAATACTTATTGCAGAATAGAATCAGATATGAAAAATCACAAAAGTACCTGTGAACGAGAAAGCTTTGGTCTATGGTAGAGATTAGATGCCCACATTATAAGTATCATCAGAGTCCCACAGCCTAATTGGAAGGCTGTAACTGTTGCTGGAAATGTATAGACCTTCAGAACCTTCAGGGGAAAAAGAATGTCTTTTGAATTGTAGCTCTTTTAAGCAATCGTATTACTTATTAACCTTGCCCTTGAATTATATTTCAAATACATCTGCCTTATAATTTCCCAAATGTGACTGGTACATTGAATACTAATCAAAGCCATCTGAGATAACTTATCAATGGAATTCAAGATTTACTCGGTGCTTTCTATGGGTTATGGGATCGTTTGCTTCCAGAGATGAAAAGATGTCCTTATGCAAGACCACGTTGTATGGGTCTGAACTCATTTTTTTCCTAGTTTATTACACTCGTCAGCCATTATAGCTTGGAAGATAATACTTAGCAAGAAGCCAAGAAATTGTTTGGACAACGGAAAGAAAATAACAAATAGAGATTAAAACAAAAGGACATAGAACCTGCTTGTTGGAAATGTTGAAGTAGATGTTCAGAAGATACCAAATTGCAAACATGGCTCCAAGTTGCAAGGTCCTAGACAAACCACTAGAATCCTTTGTCTCACCTATGTTTTCAGGAACCAATGCTTCTCTGACCTTAAAACTATCGTCATATCTTCCATTTGAAACGAGGAATGACTCAGGGATTCGAGCATTGAAGCTTGACCACGAAGAAAGATAACAAGCTTTTTGACATGAAAGTCCATGTATGGAACTGAGATCTAATGGCTTTAGAGAAGACAGGTCCGATACCGGACTATATCTGGGGTTGGTGTTTTTATTTAGAGGTTTGAAGAATGGAGTTGAAGGATACAGAGCAAGTGCAGCGCTCTGCATTTTGAATGTTTACAAGAGGACGGCAGGTTCACAGAGGTTGGGTTTTAAGCCTGCATGAATACAAAAATGTGGGGCATGAACGTTCAAGGCATTTACTTTTGCACTTGGCAGTTAGCGCAATCAGCCTTGCGGTTCACATTCTGGAAATGCAAGTGTAAAGTCACTAGCAATCGGTGTTCAAGGTGATACAAAAATTGGACAGTAAGGTCAAAAGACCAAGCGACAGTGATGAATAGTTTTTGTTTTGGAGCTGGTAGTTGGAGCATCATAATTTCAGAACCCTCACCACAAATTGAAGTAGAGGTGCATTTTACTGCTTCGTTCTCCAATATCCATACTAATACATGAAGTCAATAGTTTTAAGTTTCCACCCTGTCGGATTCGTATTATGGACAAATGTCAACTTATAGACTACAACCAAAGAAATCAATTATCCCAAGGCATTTGGTGGAGATTAGCTGGACCTGGATATGCATGGATAGCATGAATTCTCCGGTTTGTGCATTAAAGCCGCTCAGACAAAGATGTGGCAATCAGGGCTCCCATTCGAAAGAGAAATCTAAATCTTGGACCGCATAGTTCGCCAACTTGATAATCCCCTGTAATCCATTTCCAAGATATCTTCTACCAATCTAGTAATCTAATTGGAAGATTCTATGGTTGATATGAAGAATGACTGGCAATGAGCATTCCTGGAACACTACATTTTGCTGTGAAAACATAAATATTGCAAATAGAACATAATTATATGATAGGATCGGCAAGAGCTAATTATTATTCTTTCCAAAAATCCAGATCAAAGATATTATCGAGTACACCCAAGCGTTGAAAGAAGTATCATTGTCCCATCTGTGTCACGTGCATGCCAAATGCCAATCTTAATTGCAAATGTTCAAGTACACCTTATAGTTGAAAGCAACATGGAACATATCGATAGCCTTTGCTGACTAGTGACAATGATAAGGAATAAACAATTTTGTCATCGTGTGAGCTCAGAACTAATCATAATACAAGGATACAAACTCTCACTATACTCTTGAATAGAGATGGTATGAGTAAATGTTTTTCACAAGATGCATTTAAGTCTTGAGAATGTCAAATATCCAGTATGCCCTCTAGCCTCAGCAGATGGCCGAGCCATGACTGCAGGAGAACTTTGATGGTCCCTCACACTTCCTTCACCTGAAGGCTGCCTCCTCTTGCGTGGAGGACATGCAATGGAAGTACCTTCATCAACCTTGGAGCCCTCCATTCTCCATTCACGAACATCACATGAGCGAAGCAGTATTTCAAAGGTCCTTATGTCTGTGTGTTACAAGCAATTTATACTTTAGATAAAGTAAGAGAGAACACTTCTAAAAAATGTACATAACCTTACAAAAAAGATACTGCTAGAGCAAGAGAGAACTAATTTCAAAATAGGCTACCTGTAAAGTTTGATCTAAGATTTTCACATGAGCGTTGCACTTGTTCAATGCATGGTGAGAAGGAGCACAAAATTCCATCTTGCTTCAACATTTTTCCAGCTGAAGGAATGGCCAGCCAAGGTTGTGGTAGGTCTAGAAATACAGAATCTGCCAACCCAGAAAATTCATCTGGAAATCCCTCACCCTGAATATCTCTGATTCCCACAGTGACTAATGTGCTTATGCCTGTCTTCTCAAAATCCTCTCTATTAAAGGAGAGAAAAATCATAACAGATTAAGGAATGAATCATGTGTTCTATCTCTAACCAATGCATAAAAGAATAAAAGAAAAAAAATAATATACAGTCCACTGCTCTGCCAATTGTTCAAATTATAAATGAGTTTTAGGAAAGGTTCATTGTTTCTTAATTTTTCTAGTCAAAACAAATCAGTTGAGATCCATTAACTGAGGTGATTTATTGAGACTATGAAATATTGCAGCAACAAAATGGAGAGTCTAAAATTAAATCAACCCAAATAGACTTCAGAAATCAAACTAGAACTCAAACTCAACCTAATTAGTTACTAAATCATATTTCATAACTCAAGCTTTGAAACTGAAATTTTCATCAGGAACAATGAAAGAATATAAAAATGCACTCTCACAAGTAAGAAACAAACTTCTTACCTGGCTGAGGCAGCCCTCTGTTCATGGAAATCAAATGTATAAACATGTCCTGTAGGAGCCACAGCCCTTGCAAGTGAGGTTGTTAAAGATCCACTTCCAGTCCCTGATTCAAGAACCAAACAACCAGGAACTATTTCCAAGTACAAAATCACAAGGCTAATATCCGCAATATAGAGAATCTGAGTCCTGTGACTTAAAACTAAAGTCCATAACTCTGGAGTTGGAGCCAATAGGTAAACGAATCCATTCTTGTTGCTAAACACTTTGGACCCAAACGGCTTCCCAATCCAATCTGAATGTTCAAACACACCGAAACGATTTTGAAGAACCGAATTCTCACACACTTTAACAGCCTTCATACTATCATGCCTCTCATAGACAATAACTAAGTCTCCATCTCTAATGCACCGATTAAAAGAAATCTTCTTTGAAGGATCCGTAAGCAACATCCTTAATATATTAAATTTTATATGCTGAGCCCATAAAAAAGCAATTACCTGTCAAGACTGAAAATATATTTCATTCATTAAAAAAGCTTCGATATTTTATGAATTACTTAGATAAACAAAATGGTCTAACATGTAACTAAAGTACCAAACTTTACTCCCCAAAAGCCAAAGCATTTCAACTATTATAAATTTCTCCTTACGTTCAAAAGTTTCAACACAAAAATATTTAGCACATACCCAAAATTTATTAAGAATAAACTATCCCATAAAATACCAGAAAGACCCAAATTCATGAAAATGGATATACATTCAAAGCAGATATAGGGGAAAAAAAGAATCAATAATCCCATGAATATTTAAGCAATAAAGTTGAAAACAAAAAGACTAACCCAAAAGATATTTTGACTTAGACAGCGAGATTCTTCTGATAGAAAAGTTGTAAAGGATTCAGGTTTTCCAGTGAAGCTGAAGGAGCAGGAGGAGAGAGCATGGAGCAGCTAAAACCCGGGGTTTTTTCAACTTCTTTTAGCCAAGTAGGGCTTCGGTGTGGTTTTTCATGGGCTTTTATTTGTCTGATGGACTATGACAGAGGCTCCATCATTATCTACGCATCAAGCCCAATCTGCTTGCCAACATGGTGTAGTTTCTTGGGTTTTTATTCATTGGCAGGACTAGGATAGATACTCCATCGCCATGTCCACATTAAGGCCCAATCTCTATCAAATGTGAATATAAATCATATATAAAATTTTCATCATATTAATCGTGTTTAAATGGGTTACTAAGAGAAGCAGTAGGTATCAAAAGAGTTATGACTGTTGGTAGAGGTCCACATCAAACGTTTTCCATCTCAAATAACCTGTTTCTGTAATGAAACAAGCATCGAGTCTTATCGCTTGAGGATGAGGTGAGAATAACCTCGAGATTTCTCATGCTCTTTCGGCCCTTCACTTAGATACTTGTGGATAACAGCCCTTTCTCAGTTTCTCTTTCCCTCTTCATTTGTTCTTATTATGCTTTTTCTTATAAAACCAATCTAACTATCTAAACACAAATATCTCAGCCTACTGCACTTTTAGCTTTTCCACTCTCTCTCTCTCTCTGTCTCTCTCTCTCTTTCCCAATGTACCATAAGGATCAACTCCCTTGTTTGCATTGCCAGCCACATGACTACATTAGAATGGTAAACACCCAGATACTTATGTAACTATCTCCCAAACTCTCGGGGATACAAAGAATCTTCTGCTTTGTTTGCACATTGTTGTGCAACTTAAGATGGTATGTCAATTCTTTGCATAGCATCAAAAAATTCTGGTTTTTTGAAGCTTTGGGGTGATTTTGTTTGTAGGTTCAACATATGATAGAGAGGTGCCTGCTCTTTCAGATGAGCAGAGATGACTGTGTCAAGGCACTTGCAAAGCATGCCAAGATTGAACCAATCATTACCCTAACAGGCAAAGTTCTCTTACTCTTATCTTTCCCCTGGTCGCTTGTGCGGTATGTTATGTGTGTTTGACATATGCTTAAACTGATGCTTCTGCAGTTTGGAAAGAGTTGCTTAAAGAGAACAAGGGCTTCTTTCAAGCATACTTCCAGGCTATTTCTCCTAGGCAGTTCAACAGTAAGGCCAACAAAACTTTGCATGCTAATAAGTTTGTGAAAAATCAAAATCTTGTTGCAAAGCTCAAAACTAATGGATTCTTCAAGACATACCCTTCTTATAGAAGAATGTATTTTTTATGTCCTATGCAGATAGTTCCACTCAAAGCAAGGCTACTTTCAGAAGAAGAAAGCATTGGCGTTGACTCAGAGCAATATGATCATCAAAAGCGCTGTGAATGAACTTCTAGTTAAAGACATAGTTAGAAATTTAATCCAGTGATCAGGAACTGGAGAGACCTCTGCTGCAGCCTGCAGAGTGCAGAATAATGAGTACAATCTGCTGGGTCCTTGTTATTTCAAGTATACACCTACTGGTAAAATCAGGCAGATTAGGATAATGTAGCAGGTGATATTTATGTTGTACTTCAAGGCTTATTATTATGACTACTGTGTAAAGAGTTGCATACATGAATGAATGGATGATAAAAGGCAATGCTTAGTTCTTAAAAATTAGCATAAAGCAATTGTATTGTTGTCTCATAAACCCGTTTCGTTAAGCAGAACCGGATCAAATTAAGCAATATTCGCAAAGGTTTAGTGCCAAAGACCAAGAGCAGATCCTTTTAATTTTATGAAATACTGTTCTTGAGTACTAGGCTACTAGCAAAGCAAGTACTGAAACTACTGCTTGATAAATCCCAATATGCTTTCACCTCTGGCATCTTTTGGCAACCACACCTGATGGTCCCATGAAGTTGGAAATTCTGGCATGAACACATTATCTCATAGATCCAGCAAATTGGATTCCAAGTCAAATGCATTGGCCTCAGCAGTCAGGATTATACTGCTTTGATGTATTGGGACCCTCCTTCAGAGGGTTGGTATGATTGAATATGGTTGGACCCTCAACTGGGAATGTAAAGCAGGAACTGAGGAATAAGCATGGACCATTTTTGACTATACAAGAAGCATTAGCATGGGAACAACATCAATAGAGAAATTGTCTGTTACCTTTTCATGATCCATCTGATAAATCCAACCAGGCTGCACCATCCTTTACATCAAAAAGCATGATTGGAAATGTAGGAATTGCAGAAATTCACTTGTGGCAATATTGAGATTAAGCAAAGCAAGTCTTCATCAGCAACATAATAAAAAAGGGGCAAGAAAACAGAAAGCACAAATCAAAATGATCAAACTGTCTCATTAGCCAATACAGAAAACAAAAGCAATCCACCCCTCAACACTTCCATCCCAACCAAAGCCTGCTGCTGATCAAAATGGGCTTTCCTGTCAAGTTTTCGGGATGGCTGGTGGGCATGGGCCTTTATAGTTAGCCCATTTTATAAATGGGCTCAACAAAAAAATAAATATGCTTTTTATTTTTTATATTTTTATTATTAAATATTAATAAAATTCATCCAATTATGAATAAAAATTCTAATTGTATTAAATTATTTTCATTAAAAATATACTCTTAATTCTAATAGTATTAAACAAATTAGAAATTAGCATTACAAAATTTGTAATTATTTACATCTCAAACTTGATACTTTAAAAATACTTATATTTATAATAATTATTATTGTTAAAAAAAGCGTTCACACACTATAAATACTAATTTATTGATAAAAAATCCAACGCTAATTAGCAAAAAAAAATTCAACCATGAGTCTTCCATCAAATAAAATAATATTCCATAAAGAAAATACTTTAAAACAAAGCTAAATAAACCCAAATGTGGGCCCTAAAATGACCAATTAAGCCAAATGGCGCCACCTCATTGCATGGTTGCAAAGTCATTTCGCGCGGCTCCCAACAGGAAATAAAAGAAATAAATTGAATTATCTATTTCCTGATATCCAAGGTAACCGAAAACTCCTCTGTTTCTCATTTCTTCGCCAACTTTCTTTTTCTATTAATTACAATTCTCAAAATTTATACAAAATAGAGGAACAATTCTGTTTCATTGTGTATTCTGTAAGCATTCCTTTTTTTTTCTTTTTTTTTTTGAGTTTTTGATTTTTTCCATTTGGTTTATGGAAGCAGAGGCAATAGCAATGAAAATTGAAAATTTTGAATTTTTCTCTTCACTTGTTGGAATTTGTAATCAAATTTTTTTATTTATTAATTTCAATTAATTCTTGATAATGGGTTCTATTTGTATAAAGTTGTTGCTATTAATATTATCCAAAAGTTTGAATTTTTTGCATTAGTTTGATTTTCATTGATTAAATGCTTATTAATTTTAGATGCCCTTTTCTGTTTATGATGTAATTGATGAATTTTATGTATTTCAAGAATCTGCATGTAAAGTTATTTAGCAAAAATATGAATTAGTTTCCTTTCTAAATTTTTTGGTTTATTAGGAAATTGAAAAAATATCAAATATGAATGAAACATTTGATTCATAGTTATGAAAATAGAAAAAAAAATAATGGCTTTTGAACAAAAAAAAGATGAAAAGAAAAGGGCTGTTACAATTTATAATGGTGATTTGCTTTTTGCAGGATGAAGCTGTTGGTTACTGCAGATTCAACAACCTTGAGTTACTGGTTGAATTGGAGGGTCTTGCTATGTTCAGTTATTGTTTTGACTCCAATTATTATAGCATTGTTTATAATATGGAAATATGAAGGTTTGAAACAAGTGAAATGTGAGGGAAGGGAAAACCAGGAAGGTATAGGTTGTGATGAGTTATACGATGATGATGTATGGAGGCCTTGTCTTTCAGAAATCCATCCTTCTTGGCTGTTGGTTTATCGATTTGTTGCATTCTGTCTTGCCTTGGCAACAATTATATCCAGAGTTGTTACAAACGGAGGTGGCATTTTTTTCTATTATACACAGTATGCAATCTATCTTCTCAGAACTTGTCTTGGTCTTGGTTACTAATGCTTATTAAACTGCTTCTACCTTTATACTGCGTCATGATATTTTAAGTAGATTGCATTTATGTGTTCTGCTGTAGTTTTTTTTTTTAAAAATTGATTATGAGCTTTAAGCAAATGTAATGCCCATCGAGGATCATCTGTTCTTCCAAAATCATAAGTGTTTTGCCTTATAGTTCAAGCTTCCTAGTGATTCCAAAAGGTGTTTTCTGAAACATTCTAACTCTAAGGTATGATGTCTTTCGGTTCTGGACAGGTGGACTTTTACTTTGGTTACCATTTATTTTGGGGTATGTCTTCTGATTTTTTTTCTTCCAATCCTTTGTTGAGATGTTTCTGCTTCTGCAAAAGCTTCCAGTTTTGATGGAAGCATATGCTACTGTTTTTGCATAATATGTATTTGAAACTTGAACTTTTCTACACCAGAATCCTGATGACTGTTTGGATTATGATTTCCACTTAATTTTGCAGTTTGGAACATTACTCTCCCTTCACGGGTGCTACCAGCATCAAAAGATAAGCGGCTGTGGTTATAGTAACGTACAGCATTTTAGGATAGATGCAGAGCAGGGATACTACATGCCTTTAAATAACAGAAAAGACACAAATGTACAGAGAAAAGCCTTAATTCCCCAGGAAAAATGCAATGTTTCACAAGCTGCAGGCTTTATTAGCTATCTCTTTCAAGTCATATTCCAGGTAAATTCTATTCAAAGGGAAGCGATTTCTCTGTTATAGAGAAGCGGCATGCTGATATAGGCAGGTTGAGTTTGTAGCATTCAAATTGGTGGTTATTTAAGAATCAGTTTGCTCTTGTGGATCTGCTCCATGTTTATAACATTACCTCATTGTTCACACTTCATAGGGGATCTTTTTCCATTTAACACAAATCAACAATCTGATGGTTCAAAACCTTCTAGTGTAGATACTAGTATTTTCAATCTAAAAACATGTTTATAGCATTGCATTCAATGCTACTAAAAGATTTTAAGAATGTTCTAGGAGTCCTTTCAGCCTTATTCCTATAAACTTTGATGTTAAACCTCAAGTTTATTTGTCATATGCAGATGAATGCTGGAGCAGTTATGCTTACTGACTTCATTTATTGGTCCATTATTTTTCCTTCCCTTACTATCAGAGATTATAATTTCAATTTTGTAAGTTCTCTATCCCTTTGCTTATCTGGTTTACTGCTTTTGAGCTCCTGCTGTCTGTGAACATGTACTAGGAAATCAATCACAACCAACTCATGTCAAAAGCAACCATGACAATCATGTAGTTCAAGTTCTTAGAATCACAGCCAAACTTGCTTCATGTCAGAAGCAGTGTTGAGGACCAATTCATGGCCATTTCTCTATATCTTCCCATCTCCAGTTGAAGATCCATTCATTCTGTTTATCTCTTGATACTTTCTGACAAAACTGTTGGCTGATGTTTCTACTTGAACTTGTCTTAGATATATTTCCTCTTCTTATGCCTTCTTGTGTTATCTTACTGCTTATGGTCTATTAAAACTGAACAATCCACATTTCCATATGTCAGATGACTGTGAACATGCATACACTCAATGTCATCCTACTTCTTGGCGATACAGCCCTGAATTGCTTGGTAAATATACGTTGTTTTTCCATCTTGTTTTATGGATATGGCTTCTCCATTTTCATCATAATCGCCTTGAATTGTATCTATCAACTACCTTTCAGCAATTCCCTTGGTTTCGGATTTCTTACTTTATCATATGGACGGGTGCTTTCGTCATTTTCCAATGGATCATTCATGCTTGTGTCTCAATTTGGTAACATTGGTTTTACGCTTTGTCATTCCAGAATCCAGATAAATAATTGACATAACATTTTTATTCAAGAACTAGTGATGATTCTCTCTGTTATAGGTGGCCATATCCATTTCTTGATTTATCATCACCTTATGCTCCATTATGGTACATCTCTTACCAAAAGTTCCATATCCAAGTGAATTGTGAATGGTTCAAACGTACATGAAATCTTAGTCTTTGCTTTTCTCATCCATTTCTGTTTTGTGTATGCATTTGCAGGTACTGTCTTCTGGCATTCATGCACCTACCATGCTATGGAATGTTTGTATTGATTGTAAACACCAAGCATTACCTGTTATCAAAATGGTTCCCGCAGTCCTACCGGTGTTTAAGATAAAGAATGTCGGTTTTGTATTTTGTCAAAAGGTTGGATAGGGAAATTTTGGGGCTTTGCCGAAATTGTTTTACAGATTCAACCAATTGTAAGCAGATGTATTATACTCACATTACTGCCTTGTATTGGTTGGAAGAAGACGGAGGAAGACTCTTTGAGGCTCCTGCCATCGCCTTAGTCATACCAAAGAGAACGTAAATATGAAGAAAGCTATCATCCTCCTTCACTCAGTGAATATTATTACAATGAATCTTATTATTACAGAAAAAAATAAAGAAAATATATTTGAATTTCATGTTGATTATGGGTTCAAAGCTTGGATTGAAAGGTGATAATGATCGAAGTACAATGTTAGGTTTTAAATTTGGGCTAAAATGGAGTACTTGTAGGGCATGTAAGGGTTGAGTCGTGAAGCGTTGCTAAACTTACATGCTAAAGTCTAAACAAACTTCAGCCAAGTTTAAACCATACATGAAACTCCAAATTTCTATAGCTTTAGTAAAAACTTAAATGAAAATACAGAAGTTTAGAAGTCAAAGTCCAATATCCTTATGCTAAACCAAGGATTCAGCTGACAATACAGAATCAAAATAAACCAAACTCGGTATTTATTAGAGTATTGGACTCAACAACAGGCAGCAGAACTCTATTCTAACCGGAAGATTTAGCAACAGCTCCAGCTTCAGTTAGCAGAGGAATCAGCTTCCCTTCCTCATGCATAGCTGTTGTAGCTGCAACATACAAGAACCAAGTAATTAGTAAAGGAGCAGAAATGGTGTTAAGAATATTGTTCAAGAGTTTAAAGGCCATACTGTCACAGCCACCAATGTGCTTCCCACCAATGAAAACATTTGGCACGGTCCGCTGGCCAGTCCACTCTGCCAGAGCAGCTTGAATTTCACTTCCATCACCTTAAAAATACAAAGATGAAAGCCATAAGTCATTGACCCCTTTCCCGAGTTCTACTTTCTTTGAAAAGAAAGTAGTTAATGTTCAACAAGACAGTCACAAATCTGATCCACAACTCATGTCAATAGGAGAAGTTTACCAAGAGAGCATCTACAGCTCCCATCCCATGGGAAGCAAACTGTTCCGATGTGCTCAGGTGTTTCTAATGGATTGAACTAAGACATTCAAATATCAGATTAAAGATAACGTACTCACACCTTCACAATGTCACCAAAAGACGTTCAATTACTTTTGCTGGCAGTTTTAACAGCCTTTATCCAAAAGGTCATGAACTAACATCCCCTTATCTTATATTAAAAACCATATATTTGCGTCTTCCAAATCTAATGCAAAAAACATTGAACCGCACAAGAAAACCAACCATGGCTCACTGAATTATAGCATCTTCCAAAGCCCAACTCAAAACATCAGCCATACGGCTTCATAAACAGGACAGAGCCATGGAATTTGATAACGCTGCTACAGATTCCCCTATACTACGGAAAGGGTCTCAAACTGCCACTCAAACTCGCCAGGTTCAATTAACTTAATCCCCAATATCAATTTAATCAATTTTAAATAAAAAAGTAATGTTTGGTTAACCAAATTAGATCTAATTGTTTTAAAAAAGTCAATCAAAAAGTTTAAGATTAAGCTTTACATCCTCAAATGCTAACAACAACAAAAAAAGTCTCGAAATACTTCTTTGGTTTGTGACGTATTTACTATATAAGATCTTTTACTAATTTACCTATATTTTAATTGATTATTTTATAATTGTTTCTTAAAGAAGCCAGAACTTTTCCAAATAATCTAATCCCAAACACAGCCTTGAAAGCAATGTTTAATTTTTGTTAAGAGATCAATTTCAAGATACCAGACAGAATCCGATCAAATCAATACTAAAGAAAATTTGATCAATTATATATAAATAGCAAGCCCCAAATCACAAATATATTCCAGAATCTTAGAAAGGAAAAGAAAAAAGGAGAAAAGGAAAAAGGAAACTAACTTTCATTGTTGAGTTCAATGGCCTTGAAAGAGGCCCCAAGTTGTTGAAGCAATTTCTTCACGTCCACACAGTACGGACAGTACGTCTTGCTGCATCAACAACAAAAAAAAATACGTATAAAATTACAAATTTGTACATGAAGGATGATAGTGTACGTACAAGAACACGTACGTCAACATGTATACCTGAAAACGACGACGGGATTGGCAGAAACGATCTCCTTAGCCTTCGGCAAAGCCATTTCTTTCTCCCAAATTCACACAGCCCTAAAATTATCTTCCAAGCTTTCCTCCGCGGTAAGAAAGCAGCGTCGTGGTATTTATAGAGGGAAAAATGAGAAACACTGAAACAGAGTGTGGATTACGTTGGAAAGCAGATGTCCGGCGTGATGAAAATGATGTGGGACGTTGATCTAGATTCCAAACATATTTCGTGTCGTATACACCGTGGTAGGCCAGTAGAGTCAGGGAACCACCACTAACGGACGATGATATGAAGGGAAGACTTAACTTACATTTCTGCAAGTGGAATGTTAACTAATTTTTCAATACAAAAAAAAAATATTATATTAGATGTAATATACTTTTATTAATGTAATAGGTGGAAATATCTTTTATATAGTAGAATAGTTATTTATCGATGTTTCGCATTTGTGGCATCATTGCTTAGGTGCGTGGGGTGGCCATGTAGGCGTTTTAAGGGTTGCAATGGGATAGAGGAATGCAAATTTTATTAGGACCATGGAATGGACACAAATAATCATATGCTCTCGCTATGAGAAAATATCAACAACTTGAGATGGACAGTAGGAGTTGAAAATTCCAGGCATATGACAACAGATATAAAAACTACGACGTATCATGCAGCTTAAACTACAATTTATTCACCATCCCATATTCCCATGTCAAATAGGTGTCATGTATACCAGCTTCATAAGAATGTACATCCAGTGGTTCCAAAGTCCTCGCATTTAAATAATGGCTTAAACATTCAGAATGTTCTTTGTACCTCATTAAGCAGTCTCCTTACTCATGTTATCTAAGAATGGCCTCATCATATTATTGTGTTTTTAAATAGAGCTATGCTATCTACTTGGCATTCTTGATCAAAAGAAAAGCCGAGTGAGTCCTAACAAGGTACATGGCCTCTTCAAAAAAATTCTTTAACCCTTGGAAATTACTTGAATGACAACTTCATGTAAGTGTCGACTTACACAGGGCTGGTTCCCAAAGCTTCGACTTGAGATTTATGGCAACAGCATCAATAAATTCTTCTGTGCTCAAGTATAACTCCCTTGAGACCCTGAATTATAAAGTCATAACTTAATTTTTAGGTAACATGCACATAGACATAAACTTTTTAAAGAAGGTATAAACAAAGCTAGCTGTAGTGGAGGTAAGAAAGAACCACCAAATGAAAGATCAGATTGAGGGAGTAAAGTTCACAACAGGAAACATCGACGTTATAAAAAATCATACATCAAGTGAAAATGGTACATACTTGGGTCCATGGATTAAAATGGCAAGATCCTTGGTCATTTTTCCTGCCTCCACTGTCTCAATACAAGCAGCCTCCAACTTATGAACAAAGGCCAGCAACCTTTCATTTTCATCTAGTTTGGCCCTGCAACAGATATTGCACAGAACTTGAAATAAGTGCTGCCATCAGTGTTAAAAATGGGGAAAAAAAATCAAATCTAAATTTGTAAAGGTAAAAACCAGAAAAGTTTATTCCAACAGTGAGACTACTTTGACCAATAAATTCCAGTACATCAATGAAAGGCTCATCATCCATATTAAACATGAAGCATAAAAGCAGTTTTTTTGTTTCTGTTGCAAATTCTTATGTAAAGTAAGCAGAACGAAACATGTGAAGGAGATCATTTAGAATAAGTACTGATCAAAAATTATATTCCAAAAAGATGCTGAACCACTTTACTTGGATGCAGCAGAATAATTAAATACCTGTGCTCCAGGCCTCGTGTCCATGCAAATATGGAAGCAATACTGTTTGTACTGGTTTCTTGTCCCTTTTGATGAAGCCTGAAATGTCGTGTTACAGTCCCATGAGCTGCCTCAGCTTCTAGAGTCTTCCCATCAGATGACAACTGCAGAATTTGTGATTATAAAAATCCACAACATTCAATTGCCAAATCAAAGATGCCAATATAAAAAGATGAGAAATAAAGTAATTTGATACAAACCAAGACAGAAGTCATCAGGCCCAAAGAGCCAAATCCTGCATATGGCAAAGAAGAATGAATCATTTAATGGACATTAAACACATACAATAAATCATTAGTATCCCTTTTGGTTTTTTTCTTCTTCTGTGTATGGGGGGAGGGGGGATCAGAAAAAAACTATGCATAGGCAGGTAAATTTCAGAATAAGCTTAAAACAGCACCTTGAGCAAGTAGATCACTCTGGACATCTCCATCGTAATTTTTGCATGCCCAAACATATCCGCCCTCACTTTTCACGGCATATGCCACCATATCATCAATAAGCCGATGTTCATACCTGGACATAGAATGAATCATATTTAAGTATCTAAACAGAAATCTAAAGCATACTTCACTATAGGCATAAACCAACCATATAGAATGTTCTTCAAACTTGTCCTTCCAGTTTTGTTCATACACCTCCTGGAATATGTCCTTAAACCTGTAATAGACTTCCTACGATGAGCATTATGCACTTCTTCCACAAATCAAAAATTAGAATAACCTCGAATCAAGAAACAGTCCAAGATATAAAAACATTTGGGGGAAAAAGCAACTAGAAAAGAAAACATTACCTGCCATCATACTTCTTCAGAATAGTGTTTTTTGTGCTCAAGTAGAGAGGCCACTTCTTTGAATAAGCCAATGACATAGAGGACTCAGCAAAAGCACGAATTGACTACAAACAACACAACGATTTGTCAAATTAGTTAATCGGAAAAACAAGCTGCACATCATGTCTAGAAAGTGGTGTGTGTGTACTCAAACTTATACATGTTGATATTTCTAAATACGTGCTGCATATCTACATATAACATGTAGATATATACATATAGGAAAACAAATAAACAAAAATTTACAAACCTCATCAACATTATACATAGCAAGTGCTACGCCAGGGCCCTTAAAATTATACACTTCAAGCTCCACTGGCTTGTCTCCATCTTCTGGGACTAAGAAAGAAAAAAGACAATATGCAGCAAAAAATTAGAATAAGATTTTTCCAGCTTAGCTACATTGGCGCCATGGCCAAGAATGGTTAATCAGCTCACCAAAAACCATTTTAAGCTTTCCTGGTCCGGTAACCACTGTATCAGTGGCACGATACTGATCACCAAAAGCATGCCTGCCAATACATATGGGTTTCTTCCAACCTATAACAGGGAGAAAAAGTTCATAGCAGCTTGCAACAACACTTTAGTAACATCACTACAGTATGAAGAAATCATTACCAGGAACAATTCTTGGTATATTCCTGCATAGGATAGGTTCACGAAAGACAGTACCTACAAAAAGAGCAACCCTTAAATCAGAAAGCACTTCAAACACAAAAGAGAAGACAGCTTGTTAAAAGTTGAAGCGCTATTGCAAAGAATCATAATTTATCTGTTCTAAAAACTCATGATATATATGGATGATTTGAAATCTTGTTTCAGCACATATCCATCAACGACAGATTATGAAAGACAGACCTTTCAAACTTTAGGATACCATTTAAACAACTAAAAGGAAAAATCAAATCAGTCTATTCATGCTGAGCATTCAAAACTGATCCCTGAAATGAGAAGTAAACAGGAGATTATGAAAGACAAACCATTTAAGATGTTCCTAATAGTGCCATTAGGACTTCTCCACATAGATTTTAATCCAAATTCCTTGACTCTTGCCTCATCTGCATAAATGGAATCAACATAAGCAGACTTTAGTTTATATAAGCTGAAAAGTTTTCTAAGGGAAAAAAATAGAAGCAAAAGCATCTACCTACTTTCTGTATATAATCAGGAAATACATCAATCTACAAGACCAATAAAGCTTAAAAAGCACCAGAATGACTAACCAGGAGTTATTGTGGCACATTTGACGGCAACATTGTACCTGAAAGAAATATGGTCATTCTTTGAGACTGTAGGCTTTAAGATGGAAATAAAGAAACCCTAAAATTCTCCGAAACTTCAAGCCTCTGCTTTCCTCAATCATAGCAAAAGTTTTTCAGCTAAGTTTTAATACATATAGACAATGCTGAATAAATTCAACACATTCTATTCAGATACTAAAACAAAGAACCCTCTGCACAACTTTCTCAAACCACCTCAACATAGGTGAAGCTCTTTATCATCCAGCCTCAATTCAATAACTCCAGGAAACTACAAAATCATCATCATTTGTATTACATATATTACTACATAATGTAATACCCACTGCCCAAATCTTTCCAACCAAGCCTCTTTACCTCCTCAGATCCTCCAATCATTTAAGCCATCCATCCCTCCTTAAAAAAGCAACAACCACATTTCATGGCGCTACTGGATATTTTACTATATTCTCTATTACTTTCACTTGACACCATAATGTATTTCAACTAAAATATGGTAGAACACAAGGAGTTTAAGACTCATATCATCCAATGATTGTCAGGAAAATAAAATTTATTTATATATCTACAAATGAGTTAATGTCTATTTGAGTGGCCTCATTGTATATTAATAATGCAATTCTATAAACCTATTCTTTTTTCATCCACTAACTAATATCCCGCATAATATCTATAAAACCAAGGAGTTTCTAAAAGATAATAATAATAATAACAACAACAACAGAGCATTATTCATGTCAGAACTACTTACTTTAGAGCTGCTTCAGCACTTTCAGTGGTAACTTTGTCATCAGTTGCATCGCGATTTAATATCCCTAAATCAAAGTATTTTACGTCCAAATTCAAATAAGGAAATATAAGCTGCAATTAAACAAACAAGTATTAACATTATTAACAATTCTTTTTATTGGCCAAATTATTAAGAATTCTTGAAATGTGAGAAAACAAGTTTCCAAAAAAAATCACGAAATGGATAACCATACCTTGTCTTTTATCATACTCCAAATAATCCTCGTCATTTCATCACCTAATTATCAGAAAAGCAAATAAGGAAACAATAATTAAGCAATTCAACAATACTAAAAATACGTAGAAAAATAAAAATAAAACAAGCAGAAAATATAATTCCAAAACGTTCTCATTTGGCGCTGTATTTACCGTCCATTTCGACGATCGGATTCTGAACTTGAACTCGATCGAATCCAGGGAAAGAAGCGAAACACCGAAGTGAAACGGAGCGAGGGAAGTGAGAAGAGAAAACGACTCGGTTGCCGACAGTTCCATTGCTGAAGTGCGTAGAAGAAGAAAAGAAAAGAGAGCTAGGGTTTTTGTTTCTGAAACCGAGAATCGAAGCAGAAGGTGAAGAAGAAAATGAGGAAGCGAGCATGGTAGAGCCAGGTGGAGACGAGATTGCACCGAGTCGGACAGCGAGTTTTAGCATTTTCCTTTACTGTGCGTTTAAAAGACGCTCTCGTTTTAAAGAGAGTGGTTTGCCGTTTTGGATGTTGGTTTATGCTTCACATATTTTGGCTTCTTTGGAATGAGAAATGTCAAAGGGCGGCTTTATTATGGGCTCTGCATTTCAATATCGGGTATTGTGATCAAACGGCTAGGATGGAACGAGTATTTTAATCGAATAAAAAAATTGACTCCTTGCTTGATTAAGTTAAAATTCGATTAATCAGACTTACGAATTTTTAAGTATGTACAATTTTTTTTTTAAGATTAGGGCACTTGTCCATCACGGTTTCAGTTAATAGTCTTAGGGTACTCATCAATTAAACTCGATTATAAGTAATAATTTTTAATATTAAATTTAATTTTTATATATTATTTTTTATTTATA